TGAACCACCATTGATGTTAACTGATTTACTGGAGGAATGATTTTGACAAAGTTCAGTTACTGAATTTTCTTTAGTTACATGCTTCACACATTAATCCCATAATTGTACTGCTGAGTTCTCCTAGTCAGCAACGGTGAATAAAAAAAAAAAAAAAGGCAAAAAAAAAGCAGCTTCAGCTTGTGCAAGTACATTCTTCATCATTTCTTTTGAATACAGAGCCATTTTCTCGGTACTTGATATGAATATTTTTCCTCAAAAATGTCTTTATAGGGGATATGCCACGTGTCACCTGTAGTCTGTACCACACAGTCATAACGCAAAGCAGGCTGTTGGATAAAGACAGATAAAAACATTTTTTTTAGACTTTACACAATACCAGCGTACCATTTTTACTAAAATACCAGTTATAGGTAGTTATAACTTCCAACACTTTAGAAATCTCCAGAGGTTACTTTCTTTAACAACTCTCATTTATTTCCTTACACGAAACAATTTCTAAATTTTAGTACTTGAGGAAAAAAACTAAAACATCTTTTAGTATTTTGTGGTCTAGGAGTCATTATAAATGGTTAAAAAAAGAAATGTCTCTTCAATCTCCACCAGATAATAAAGATTTACAGATAATGCACTCAATTTCTAGAAACAGCAAAATGATTGTTTTTCTGTTCAGTGAAATGAAGCCATATGGGAATTAACTCAGGATGGGGAGTTTATAGGCTTGAACTGATTTAATGACATTAATGACCTCTTGTGTTTATTCTTCCAGCATACCTCGTTACAAAACTGATTTGCTCTGTGCTGAAGCGGATGTAAGAAAAGGGTTTGTCATTTAACACTTTCAAGAACATCTAGTTGTACAAATATAATAAGCTATTCTTCTGGCCTGTTACGTTACAGGTATACTAACCCAACATATATAACACAAATACAAAAGAACATTACTGGTTGGCAATTACAGTTCTGGGAATATATTATCACTCTGTATGTAGTCTTGGAAGCCTACTTCCCTAAGACAGCTTCCAGAATAACCTAGAAGACAGCTATGACTGGCAATGTCAATCATCCAAATTGCTTGTATGGGAATTAAGATGTTAAAATTACTAGCCCTTTTATACAAAAGAAAGGGAGAAGGTGTAGCTAAAGCTGTGTTACCTGGGTAACCCTACATTCAGTATTTGGTTCTATAAAAAGAAATTTACATATGGCAACACTGAATGAAAAGCAGTCACTCTTTTAAGGCTGTATCTCTACGGTCTGTTTGTAGTGATGGATATTATTTTAGAATTTTAACACAAGCAGCAAGAAAATGAATCTGTATAGGTACAGTATTCTTTTAAGTAGGCACTAACAACACAGACAGACCAGGTAACCAAAAACTGCATGATACAGAATGTCATGCGATGAATTTTTCCCTAGAAAAATCTGAAAACAGCCGCCCTGCTGGTAGCGTACTGTTCGTGGCTCCTAAGGATACGTGTCTCCTAGCCAGTAACAGTAGTATTTTACTGTAAGATGCTACTGTGCTCAGAAGACTAACTTCTGCAGCTGAATACTGACTATAAATCTGTCTGTTATGGGCTCTCCTTCATGGAACTTTATACATATGTTAGGCTACAGTGAATATTGAAATACCTGTGTTTTCCTGTGTCTTTAAAAAAAAGATGAAAGACTTTCTACTGTACAAGTACAAGTGATATAATAGTGCTACAAAGGAGAATAAGGTACTTCAAAGTTTAGATGAATGAAAACATATTGGCACATATTGGTTTTACAGCAACGGAAAGACCTGTCTACGCAAAGTTGTATTTATATTTGCATTTCAAACATTTAGGCAGCATTTTGACACTTCTGATGTCTGTAGCACACTTTGTGAATACAGCGACCTTCCAGTAAACAGAGGGTTTTTGAGCCCACTTGCACAAATCTATTTCTTAGACGCTAACAAGAATCTTTTTGCTTCCAGAGTTTGAAATTGTGTATCTTTAATAAACACGCTCTGTGTGCTTTTCAATTGCAGCAGAACACTTACCAAAAAATTTATCTGCTTTCCTTCTACAGAAGGGAGAAACACTATTTGGTGTCCACGCTGCCACTTGCGGAAGAGGTGACGTGTGGGGCTGTCGGAGAGACAAGCCTTGTGGTCCCGGAGGAAGTCTCGAGTAACAAACCTGCAATGCTTCCCCGACTGAAGAGTGGCATATAACAGGAAGGCATCATCTTCAGAGCTTAACAAAACAAACGGAAAAGACAGATGTCACTCCCAAGGCAGTCAGTGGTTGCAGGAAATGGATCAAACGCTGACCTGGGATTTATTCATCAGCAACACGGAAAATTCCCATCACTACTCTAGTGCCCTGGTAAAATAAAGAACTTCTGCTTCCACAGGGCACTAGAAGTTACAGTGCAATAAAAATTAATTGCATGCTACACAGCATTCTTCCCTCTTATCACAGTCTGATAATATGACAATTTAATCTTTAGCCACAAAACTTAACAATACATTGCTATGTGGAACAGGGCAGCTAAGACTCATGAGCGTATCCCCAAAGCTTTGCTGGAATACAAACAATCATCACAACTGATAATAAAATGTAACGTAGGCAACAGCACACATCTGTAAGTCTTTGTCTTCACATGGCTAAATATACTGCCAGAAGGTACTCTGATTATTTGAACAGTATATTCTACACTAGCTGCTATTAAACTGAAACAGTTGTAGGGGAAAATCTCTAAAAATACATCTATAGTGGGTATGAATAACCCTATACCTGGAGAAGCTGAGCAGAACTTTGCTTAATACCATGGTTTGATTGCTGTGGATTACTGGAATAGTAAGTGACAAGACACGAGATTAGTGAGAGTCTTCATCCAGGGGTGACAGTATCCCCTTTGCTGGTGCTCAGAGAGCAGGAAAGAAAGCAATGTGATTCAACAACAAAGAGAGCAAGAGCCACAACTGGAGAGGGGATGAAGTGAATCAGATCTGATATGGGGCAGACAGAAGAGACTTGGTCTGGCTGCTGGGACAAGAAACATAGGTTCTTGGGACTAGTGTCACAGAAGACATGGAAGAAATAGGTGAAGGACTAGCAGTGCTCACCTCAGAGACTCAGTGGAGCTGGAACTGAAGAGAAGCTTGGACTCATGATATGAGGAAGGCAGGGCAAAAGAGAGGGGACATGGGGGCGGAGGCAAGTACCTAGTTTAGATACAAGGACAGGCTTGACTGGACAAGAGCAATGGGGTTGTGCTTCTTAAATCAGAGAGGCAGAGGGGCTATTCCCATTCACAGAAGTAGTCTCCTCTGGGAGCAGCAAGGAAGTCAGTGCTCCAAACTCTGCACACTCGTAGGCTACCAAGCAAAAATGGCCAGGCATGAACTTCATGTCCTCACTTTGTAGGGCTAAAAGAGCAGACCACGACTGTGCTATTCTGCAAATTTAGGCTGTCATCTTTGCAGTGTTTTTAATGGTTATAAATCCTAATGAACCATATATATGTCAACAGAATTCTAAGTGATAAAATTCTTCAAAATGCCATTATGAATGTATTGTTTTCTGAAGCAAGTGTAGCACGGGATTTCTCTTTCACATACAGGACTAACACTACTAACACTAAAGATTAGAGCAAAATGCACATAAATAAGGTGTTGATCTCCATTATATTTAGGCATTTTCTTCAACTTACATATTTTCAGCAAAGAAGAAGTCTGCCTTACTCTGCATCTGCTTCATAATCTCTCTTTTCCAGTTTGAAGAGTTACTCAGCATATGTTTGCGGCCCAGCACAAGCAACCGGCCATTCTCTTTTGCCAGGCAGCTGACAGCATCAAATAGCTGCAGAAAACAAAGCAAAACCAAAGATTTTCTTAGCTGTTTCTGCTCGCAACCACACTGAGAATACATTGCTATTATAAAACTTTTGCAGCTCTTGCAGCTTGACTGACGTTGAATGAACTCAGGAGGATTTGTACGGCTATTTCAGAAATTCAGAGTCAGCTGAGGGAACGGAATCACAATGGGATTTAAGCAGTAGCTACTTTTGGAAACGATTCGGTGGCACTGAAGCCTTTGTTGGTGTTCGAGGAGGTCCGAGGCTTCAACCAGCCTGCTTTTCCAGCCCCACCTGTTGTCCAAGTTGGAGAACTACAAGTGACCTGGCTGCCCGGGGGGCAAGACACACGAGAGGCAGTAAAGGGAAACCTGTGACCTCAGGATTAGGGGCTTATGAAAGCCACATCCAGACTGATCTCCTACTCATGAACCAACATCCTGAGGTGGCAACCATTCACTGCCGCTCTAGCTTCTCTTCAGAGGGACTTTTCACCAGCCTTTTAGGGATGTGCTGGTTCAGCAAGAAACGCTTCTGAGGACAGGCACTTGTGCTTGCAGCTTTCTCTCCCTGCTTCACCCAGACAGAGTTTAAGGGGGACAAGGTTCTCTTGGCACCCAGGTTATTACTGTGGACTGCTCGCAAAGCAGTGGCATTTCAGTTCTGCCCAGAGAGAGAGGGAACTCGTTCTTGAGACTGAAGCATCATTTGAAGGCTGAGGATAGCATGCTCAACCAAAAGCAAAAAGTGTTTCCTAATCTTTACTTGTATTTGCCGTCATTATTTGTCAGTATACAGTCTCCTGATTTTTCTCTAATCCCTTTTCCTGCTTTTCTAGCTACTTCCTTTTTCCTTGTTACCTCTCCTCCCTGCAATACCTCCAACTGCCTTTCTTGTCTTCCTCCTCCTTTCCTCCTATTTGTGATCCTTATCATTATTTAAAATCATTATCTTTTGTTTCAGGGGCTAGAAAAGATTGTTCTTCTAACTCTTGGGTACAATTTTACGATGCATCTGTAAAAAGATCAAAACTTGCAGGTTTGATTTACCTGCAAGTAGCAGTGGAAAGGAGTGGTACCACTCGACCCACTCTCGAGCTGCACATTCCCCCTGCTGCTGCATCAGATCTAACAATGCCACCACTGAACTGGTGACTGCTGCATGGCTTTTTAACTGCTGGGCTGTAAGCTGCTGTTACCACCACTGACCCCGAAGGCCCGAAGGCTCTGTTTTCACGGCGACACAGAGTCTTGATGCAAAGCACAAGAGCCTAACAGTACCTATGGGAACTGCTGTCCCCCTTGCAGGAGATCACGCTGGACACCCGCTACGCATGCGTACAATCTGCTCTTCCCTGGTTAAAACAAACAGGGCATAATGTGAGAAGGAAAGGGCCAAATGCAGTAATTTCTGCAGATAAAAAGAACATCATCATTCTTTGTGGTTCATGCCCCAAATCTTTGGCGATACATTTCAGCATTCTTACTGGAACACAGAATGGAAAGGTACAAACGAAAGCCACCATTTTAATGTTACTGGAAGGCTTTTAAAGTAACTATATTATGTAATAATGTCTCTGCTCATCTATGTCACCTAACTTATTTTATTATTAAATTATGAGTTTATTAAAAATTGAAAAACTGAAATTCAGTTTTTCAATACTGACATTTCTTTTTGGAATTTCTCATCTGGGCAGTAAAAAACAGCTCATCAATTTTACTTGTTTATAGTCACTTCTGTTTTCTGGTTCTCATGCATTGGTCCAGTCCTGCAAATAGTTGGATAAAAATATCAAAGCAGAATTAAATTTGTTAAGCTGAGTTCATTCAGCTTAATAATTAGGATTGTACCGACTGCATCCATACACATTTTCACGTAGAGAAGCCCACAGTGAAGAATTATCAGCCATAAGTAACTTATGCAAGCCCTTCCAGATTCCACATGAAAATACTTTCTCTTCTTGCCTAATGTTTTGCTTCATTAAGGTCAGCAGAAAGTCATGTGAAAAAAGAAAACGTGAAAATGTTTTTCAAAGAACGCTTCAGATACTGATTCCACAAAGTCTAAAATAAAAAACTTGATAGCAAGAACATCCTGATAGCACAACAGGAGAAACAAGTTCTAAAAGAAGCCTGAGTCAGTCTCAGGAACATAGCTGCACTAGTAGTATTGCAAGTCAATAAAGAATTGCTAGTATTTGAACTGCTGGAGTTTACTCTCAATAAAAAAACCTAAACACCCTTTAATTGCACTCAAGGTTCAACAAAAAGTCAGCTAGATTTCCAGATACAGATTGGTCAACTGGGGCTATTCCCAAGTTCATAAAAAACTTGGCTGGCTTGGATCCAGTTTCCTTAAGCCTTTCTTTCTGAAGGTTATAACTAGGGGCACTTTGTACCTGTTAGTCATGCAGACTTTCTTCTCCTACGTATTATTAGCATATGAGGTTCTCTAGTATGAAGTGCTTCTGGGAAAAAAAAAACCCAAGTGGTATAAATTATCTACAGTTTTGCAATGTAAAAACTCAAAACAGGCTTAAATTGTAAAATAAATAAATAAATAAAAATAATGGCAAATAGTTTTAATCACCATTAAAAAATTTAGGAACGCCTGCTTGCGTAATAGTGCGCTGCCCCTCCTCTGCTTACCACAGAGATCAACCTCTGCGTACACAGCTGGAACACAAAAGAGAGAAATTATTCTTCCTTTCACAAGATAAAAAGTTCTGCACACTCCCTTGACTGATGCAACTTTACTAAAAAGTGTTTTATCTCATTTTAGGCTTTGGAGCTTAACAGGGGTGGTCTACAGGGAGCCACAGAACTTATGTGGGGGTTTCCTAAATGTGTCTACTCCCACGCCTGGCTGCTTCTCAAGAAAGGAAGACATGAGACACACAGTAACACTTGTTTTAGTCATAAAGGAAATTAAACATAATACTGTTAACAAAGAAGCCAGCCATAGTGATCTCTCACTTACAAAGACACGAGTATTTTTTTAGTTCAGTATTAAAAATAATTTTTAGATAATTTAGATAATTTTTGGTATCTGCCACTACACAATGCAAATGTGCTATATGCTCTATATAGACACATCCTTTGAACGGTCTCGCATTGTTTAGGCAGCAAACATCAGATGCTCAGCTGGATAATCTGTTCAAAAGGCAATCTGTATAAAACATTTAAAAATATGCAACACACATTCCCTATGCTATTTTTTTTTTTTTAGAATGAAGATCACAAAATTAGAGAAAGAATGACCTTTTATTAATATTAGTATCTTTCAAATTTGACAGCAGAGCATAGAAAAACCACATTTTCTCTGAAAACAGGAGTTATAAGATGCTGTTTTGCACAGAAGGGAAAATATGCACGGTTAGACTGGCTGCTTCAATTCATATGGCAAGATGTAGCTGAGGCAGAGAAGCAAGCACCTACTGAATACATTCTGCTTGCAATCCCTTTCATCATTTAACAGTTACATGTAAATTATTCCTGTGCTGTCCCTGTCTTTAATTAGATCTTTCTCGAGCTCCTCCTACACCTTAATATTTTACTTACAATACAAACAGTTCTCTGTTCACAGCACTTTAGCAAATGACTCTGATGGAGCTAGGAGCAGACACAAAGAACTAAGAAACTACACCCAGATCAATGGAAGAGTCAAGACCAGCTATTCACAAATGTACCAGGTATTTCCCACTGTGATTCTTCTAAGCACACCGCTAATAATTTTTCTACTATTTTTTTAATTATAAAAAATATTCCATGATTAAATGGATATATCCAGTGTGCATTTTCTAACTCTCAATTCTGCACCCTTGTCTATGAACCCCTGAAAAATGTGTACAATGCTTTGGCTGAGTGTATACTTTTATCTTTTCTTGGGACAGTCCCAGAGATAGGAGCTATTTCCCCGCATGTAAATGACTTTGTTTTTGTTTCTGCAGCAATGCCATTTTATGAAATTTCCCCTCCACCACCAGACTCCTGCCCTCATATCACAATGCACTCACAACTGCATACACACCATGGCAAGAACTTCTGCATCAGAGGAGCTGGGGTGAATAACAGCTGGGAGGCAGCGCAGTAGGACAGAGAACACATGCTTCACAGGTTCATGCTGATGTTGAACTCCTTAGATCATGTGAAAATGCGAGCTTTGCAAGTATGAAATAAAACAACCAAAAATGCTGTAACTGGTAGTTTCACATTTTAAGTTATATCTTAAAAGAACCACTTTTCAGGTAGGAATAAACATTAACAGTTTCCCACCAGAAGAGAACCTCTCTATTCAAACTAGTGGAAGCAGTTTTGCAAAGACCCACATTCACAATTCTGCACAATTTTAATGGGGATCAAACATCAGAGTTAAGCTGGGAGACCAGGGAATTCTTGTCACACTGCAAGATTAATCCTCATTCTTTACATTTCACAACAGCCTTATGAAGTAAACATGCAATTACATCTCCATTTTACACAAGTGTATAATGGAGCACAAGGAAAACATTAATTACTCTGCCTCATACAGGGAACTATGAGCAAAGCAGGATACAGATTTCCTAAAGCTTCCCTTCCAGTCACCCATTCTGATTACTAGATTGTGCTGTGCCACATGTCCCAGTTTCAAAGGTTAGCTTGCTGCAGGTCAGCCTTTATCCTTGGAGACTACCGGTGGTTTCCCATTTGTCAGATGGGAAACCCCTAAACACTGCTGCTGGGAGACACCAGTCAGTGATTCAGCAAAAGGTGGCTCACCTGTATACAGGTAGAGCATGAAGAAGTAATCACCCCAAAACAGTTACAAACAGATTTGTTTTATTAGTAAGTTGTTTGCCATTTTCTAAACATTCCACAGAATCACAGAGCAGTAGGGGTTGGAAGGGACCTCTGGAGATCACCTAGTCCAACCCCCCTGTCAAAGCAGGTTCACCTAGGGCAGGTTACACAGGAACACGTCCAAGTAGGTTTTGATTATGTCCAGAGAAGGAGATTCCACAAACTCT